GAAAGGGGTTTCGCAGATTCCGTTACACCGAGTAGTGACGTACAGGAATTCCTCAGAGGTAGATGGATGGAACTGGTGTAGCCGTGGGCGGTTTTTGTTATTTCGTTCTAATCGTGTGAACCATAAATAGAGTAAAAAGGACGAAAGAAGCGAGCACAAAGCAAGGTACGAAATGCACAATGCCTTGTGGTTTTAGAATTTGTGGAACAAGTGCATTCAAGTGGCGGCCATCACGAAGGTCTTGCTCGGCGTTGGATCTGTGTTGATTGCACAGTGGTTTGCTGGAGGGAGGGAGAGAGAGAGAGGGAGGATGAGTTGAAACTCGGCTGCTGGGAGTTTCTTTGTATTTCGTTGAGGCTGGCACTAGGAACTGTACCCGCTGACTGAATTAATTCCAGTTCTCCTGTCAGATTTCGGGATAAACGCTGCTGTCTGTCGAGTAACTTACGAGGCTTTTTGCAAGTGTATGAAAGAACTGTGGAAACCAGACTCGAGGCGAAGGGCATTATCGTACTGAAGACACGTCGATGGATGCCATTGTGGTGGGTAACTTCCCCGGTTGAAGAGAGATTGAAGAACATTCATGACTGAAGATGGAGACAGCATGTCCCTCCAAAATATGAATGGATTTGAAGGAGTATGGTTAATCATAGTAAATATACGTTTGAAGTTTACGTTGTGGCGGTTCATGAACGTGTCATTTATCCGAACTTAAAAATGGCGGGTTTGTTTAAAAGGATTCCTTCTTAACTGCCGTTGAAGAAGTTGTTTTCGAGTGGGTTTGAAATTCTCAGATGTTGTGCAGGTACGTTTGCCGGCATAAATGTGATGTCCGCAGGGAAATACTTGTCTGCCAAACAAAATGGCGTAAACCTCTTTTTCGAACCTCGGCTCTTCCTGTAAATTCGTCTCCACTTCGTTGCACGTGACTCATTGTGTTGTGCATTTGCAGAAGCGCTTCGCCCTCCTTGTCCGGAGACTCGCGAAGTGTGAAGTGACACAGTCTGGCAATTAACGTCCGCTCTCCGTTTGCCAGAATTGCTGACGTGGATTCTTCATTGTGAGGAGCGTGCATTGATTCCTTATGTAGCACAGTGGTACAATCAAGCTCAAAACTGAATTATCCGGATTTTACATTTCGTCTTCGTTGAACTGAGAACCGAACCCAGTAACCAGCAAGCATGGCGCAGTCGACAGCGTGTTAATTCGTCTTAGCGAAAAAATGTGAATTAACTATGCATTGCTGAATTGTGCGTCGCGTGGAGATTTTAAAAATTTAAATTCCGAGAATTTAATTTCTTATTATTGGTGTAGTCTTACTTCGGTGCATTCTGGTCTGTCGTAAATTGGCCAGATACCTTTAGGAAGTTAAATGATTATTCTCCAAAATTTCCCTTGGTTGCCGGGGAAAGTTATTTCTGCTGGTGAATGAAACTTTTGGAATTGGTCGATGAGGTTATGGTGCGTACTGTACAAAGACTCAGCCAACTCTGACATTCTGAAATCGGAAAGTCTGGGTTATCAACACTGCCCCCAAAATTGCCATGTTAATTCGGTGTTGTGTTCGGCGCCGGTATTTCGTCATAGCAACTGCCCTGTTCTCTCTCTCTCTTTCTCTCTCTTTTTCTTTACATATTCATTGTGAAGTGTAATTCGTTTTCAGTATCATGTTCCATTTCACATTTAACAGATCGGTGGCCTTGTAATGTTAACGAAAGAGATGTGAACTCCTTTCATTGCTAGTACCTTTTGTTCATTGTTAACCCACGACAGAGTTCGTCCTCGACATTCCGTACACGGATACGCCTGCGTGTATTGGCCACCCACCTTGCGCGTCGTGTTGATTGGGTTGCCTGCTGGCTAGGGAATGATGTTTTCTTGTAACGTGAACGAGAGTGTTTTCAGCGTAAGCGATTCCAAAACTACCCGTTATCATAGGATTGGGGTAAAATGTGTGCTTGTGAAAAAGTAACTCTTGCAATCGATTGTATGAGTCGTACGTTCCCACCAGCCACGTCAGCTTTCTACATTTCTCTGTGTGATGAATGGGATTTGTAGTCGACTCCATTTCCCCACTCCACTTCTGACATCGATATGTTCCTTTACAGGACAATATAAGGAATTGGCTGATCTGTTTTCACACATCTCGTCATGACGTAGTAGTGGGTGGCACTCCTTTTTATTCGAGAGGTCCCGGGTTCAGTTCCCGGCCAGAATATCGGTTATTCTGACTAATGTTTTAGTTTTTCTCAGTTCCACCGGGTAGATGCTGTTTCCATGCGTTAAAGTAGGTCGCGACCTCGTTATTCATTGTTCGTTAGTAATCGTATTATCCGACGCTGTGTAGTCTGAGTGGCCACAGCGTTCTGTGATTAAGTTGTAAATAAAAATAATATCTTCAGAGCCCTTGTGTGCCTTTCTTTCTTTCCGTGGTCTCGTTCTGATCGTTTGTACTGGCCGGTTGCTGAAGTAGCAGGCAGGCAGGCCTTTGTGTCTGCGATAGACCATCTTCTAACGGGGTCTGTCAGGTCACGTTCGACGTCCGTTACAAATTGCACGAGTATCGGCGGGGGGTGGGGCGCAGGTAAGGAAATAAATGCTGTCCGCACTGCGAACTTTTGTTTTTCAGCGGCAGTAAATTTCCGCTCACCGTATCGGGTAGCGTTGTTGGTTTCCATAGTATACGCATTTGTTTTCGTCCTCACAAGCTAGTGACGTATAGACCAGTGGTGTTCAACCTTTTCTGTTCGCGTACCCCCCGATATAATTTCTCTTCAACTTTGTACCCCCAAAGTTGTTGATGTATAATTCAAGTTATACATAGTATATAATCTACATCTAAAATAAATTAAATAAATTACATTACTTATTATTCAGTGTTTATCATAAAATATTTTTTTTTGACGACTGTTCCGTAACTTTCTGTCAACACATTGACGTTAATTTAAAAGTAAAAAGTCTTAATTGATGTCGTTTCATATAAACTTGTTCTGTGCATTTCTGCGCCAGCTCGCAGGAGGAGCTACGCCCCCAAACGAACGGTCTGTGGTTCTTTCCCAGCTCTGCGCCGTACCTGAAAGTGCATACCGGCGGTTTTACGATGCATGCCGTGATTCGGCTTCATATTGGGCTGGAGTTGCCTGCCTGAGCATGGGAAGTTTCTCGTGCCTCGTCATGTCCAATGCCTAGAGAAAACCTCAGGGAACAGCGAATGTGCATGTCACAGAGCGGTCTCCTGGCCCGTTGCAACTTTGCGAAACGATGAGAAACAGCCATGGACCCTGAGGAACTTGTGACGTAAGTCTGCTTTAGTCTCCCGTTCTGGTGTTGAAAAAATGGCGCGCGCGCGCACTTACTTATGAATTTTATTTATTTATTTATTTCCCGTTGTCGCAATATGCAGACTATGCCAGGCGAGGGTTCTCAGTCCATGGTTCGCCTATTGCGCGACCCGCGAACTCTTCTTGTATGTAATTTACCTAGTGTGATACCGGAGAACGCGCTTTGTTGGTATCGTCATTACTTGGCAGGTCCTGTCGCTGTGAGCAGCTGTTTGCTTAATGAAGGACTTCGTATCAAGAACTGGGACGCGTGACTCGCTTATGAGCGCTTGGGGAGATGCGCGCTGATCTCAGTAACAAAAATTAAACCTGACATCGAAAGATTACTCGAGGCACTCTTTTATTTTTACCTAAGCCGTGTGAACAAATTTGATGAAATCGATCTCGCTGCTTGAGGGTGATGCAACCCGTGGCACGATCTTGAACGAGTAAAACTTAATTTCACGGAAGGTAACAGCAGAGAGCGTTGACCCATCAATACGCGTAGAAAGCAAAGTTGAGTTTCACATGTTGCAGATGGTGTTTTTATGATGATTCGTGGAGCGTTTTTCACCTCATATCTGTTATCAGAACATTTGCAGTGTTCCGGGTGAATCATCCCAATTAAGTCTCATTCCGTGTGTCGAGTTGATCATTAGCGCACACCAGGAAGCATTCGTCAGGCCTTGGTCGTGAAATTCAACAAACTTTGAGCTCACTGAAGCCTAGTTCCTCAGTTTCGTCGTCGTAACTCTTGTTTCCAGCCATGATCTGGTCATCGACCTTGCTTTGTGTCTTCACTTGTGCCATCGCGAAAACTCGGTAAGGCCTGGGCCCGCAGTGAACAGGCGGTAGGCTTGTCTGTTAGCACGTTTTGAATCAAACATGAAGTTGATTACTTACTTGCTTTTTCAGTTGTCAAATGCAGTACAGATTCTGAAACAGACATTTTTTGGCTGGGTGGGGGGGGTGGTACTTCCTTTGTCTTCCTTAGAATAATGACGACTCGCCCTTTCATAGCATTGGTGGGTTTTTATATGCACTTGTCCGTGGTCAGGATTCCGAAAATGGAAGTGTTTCAGTTCTCAGGCGAAAAGCTAACGTTCCCTGCTGTGTGTGTACGCCCCATCTTGCCACCTGAGGACGGAAGCATGTCTGATTTACGAAACGTGTTTTGTTCGTAATGCCAATAGGTTGTTACATTCTAGTATTTTCTCATGTTCGCTGTAGCTTTTGCCCCTCCAAATTGTGTGATGAGATCGGTTGGTTGTGAGGACGTACGCCCTTGATTAATGTTTCCGCGGTTCTGATAGCAGTGGTGATGTTCTTCTGGGCTTTGGCCCCGCGTAGACTCGTCAGTAGATGCCAGTATTTCGGAGAAATGTGTTTTCTCCCGTCATCAGGGCTCAAGTTGTGGAAGTTCGACCCGCTCCCTATAATTCCTCGTCCCTGATTGGCTCACTCCCTCATTCTTCCCTTTTCCCAACTTTCCATCTTCGTCACTTCGACCCTGAATGTGGAGACATGTACGCGGCGCCGAAACTCCAAGATGTTGTCATCATTCTCCCCGCCATGAAAATCTCAAATATCTTGGCAGTGGATTTAAGGAATGTCGTGACAGATTAAAAGTGAGCGTCTTGTCTTGTGGTCCCTGTACAGAGCTTGTCTTTTCTGTTTCAGCAATTGTTCCGAAGTCAACAGCAACAACAACAACAGCCGACCCCACAGCAGATACAGCTCTTGCAACAGCAGCAACAGTACCTTGCTACTCAGCCACAGCAACAGTTGGGTGAGTTAGTTAGTTAGTTAACCCTTTGAAGCCGAAGATCGTCTAAATATTATTTATGAATTCAGTCCGTACCGCGAAGAAAACACTACACCTCACCATTACGAAAATCAGCTGGCTAATTGCCTGTGACCTGTCGTCATACACAAAAACACACACGAGGGTGAGTCAGAAAGTTTCCCTCTTCAACGCACATGGTCCGGCGATCCACAAGCTTCCGTGTGCCCTCAGAAATAAATAAAAAATGTTTGTGGTCGAGTGCCAAGCCAGTTTGAGCCCATAGAAAGCTTGTCTTTGGTGCACACGTTAACTCTACTACGACACTACAACTGGCGGGTCAGGCTCGAAGGTATTTCACAATAACGTAGTGTTCGTGTTTCTACCAACGCTCAAAATAAGCAGTGCAACCAACACAACAAGAGGAATGTCAGTGAGCCTCTGTCTTGTGGTCTCTGTACAGAGCTTGTCTTTTCTGTTTCAAAGGAATGTCGTGACAGATTAAAAGTGAGCGTCTTGTCTTGTGGTCCCTGTACAGAGCTTGTCTTTTCTGTTTCAGCAATTGTTCCGAAGTCAACAGCAACAACAACAACAGCCGACCCCACAGCAGATACAGCTCTTGCAACAGCAGCAACAGTACCTTGCTACTCAGCCACAGCAACAGTTGGGTGAGTTAGTTAGTTAGTCAGTCAGTTAGTTAGTTAACCCTTTGAAGCCGAAGATCGTCTAAATATTATTTATGAATTCAGTCCGTACCGCGAAGAAAACACTACACCTCACCATTACGAAAATCAGCTGGCTAATTGCCTGTGACCTGTCGTCATACACAAAAACACACACGAGGGTGAGTCAGAAAGTTTCCCTCTTCAACGCACATGGTCCGGCGATCCACAAGCTTCCGTGTGCCCTCAGAAATAAATAAAAAATGTTTGTGGTCGAGTGCCAAGCCAGTTTGAGCCCATAGAAAGCTTGTCTTTGGTGCACACGTTAACTCTACTACGACACTACAACTGGCGGGTCAGGCTCGAAGGTATTTCACAATAACGTAGTGTTCGTGTTTCTACCAACGCTCAAAATAAGCAGTGCAACCAACACAACAAACTGTACAATAAATAATTGCGGGAACTCCTTGACTCTGCCCTCTGTCTTAACGTACGTAAGGTAAGACAATTTGCTCATAATAAATAGGCTGGGGGCTTAGTAGGACTTTGCACGGTTGTGGATATGCTGTTACCATATTGGAAGCCATTTTTTTTTTTTGTGTATATTAGGTTCGTAATTTCCCCATAAATTCCTACCTGCAAGACTGTGCGTAAGAAATCACTGAATTTGTGTTTGGTTTTACTTTTGTGTATTCAAATTCTTAAGGAATGAATAACAACCACTGCTGCTGGAGTTTTTGTATCACAAGTAGAATTTTTTACCATTTATCTCACTTTTTTTAATAAGAGTTGTTGTTAATTCCAAAAATCCACTAACTTTTCTGTAAAAGTTTAAGAAATCCAGTTTTGCTTTCTTCTGCACCTCGGCAAAGATGGTGGTAATTTATGTATAATCGAGAGATGTACTGACACTGAGTTTGAAATTTGGTGATCGAGTTTCTGTTACATGTGAGTGTGCGCGTTGATCGGACAATTTCAGCAGCGGGAAGAATCCTGCAAGCAGTACGCAGAAGGTTGGATACTGGCAGCTGTAAAATAGCCACAGTGTAACAAAGTGCAGATGATTGGTGGCGGATAAACATTACATTACTTGTGGGATTTGGATGATTAATATACTAAATCATTACATAAGCAAAAATAATATAAATAGAAAAGAAAGACAGGATCTGCCATTGTACAGATATATAAATACGTATGTGTCCATCAGTCAGTGTATAAAGAAACATTTTGTGGTCACCTTGAGCTCTTGCTTTCATGTGCGCTTATTTTTCCTTTCAAGGACATTTCATTTTCTTTTTCAAAATGTTATTGCCTACATGAATACATTGGTGATTGCAGTTTGTCAGCGTGCCTCGTCAAACATTTTCTTTTAACAGGAAATATTATGTAGGATTTTAGGTTTCTGTCGCTGTAGTGCTGTATGATATTTCAGCTGTTTCTGAAGAACATACTGCCTCCATCTTCTAGGCTTTTAACTGTGTGTGGCCAAAGAACCCACAGACCAACTTCTAATAATGAAATTATCTTATAAATAATTCCAGATTTTCCTTATGCCGTTAGTATCTGTGTGTATATATGAATGTAACGGGTACCCGTGAAATTGAGTGTCGTTTTGTGTGATTGCGCTTGTTTCTCGTACAGTAGATGATGTGACACTTGTGTGTGGTTATTTTTCATGTATACCCCTAAGGCATGGCAAAAATTATTTTACTTAGTATTCTCAGAACTCTCGTCTCCTTAAAATGTCCAGTATTATAAAGTAATTTCATCATTTTCCTTTGTGTTAATCTTTTACTTGATTTCCCCCCCCCCGAAATGTTTCTCACTTTCTTACGTAGTTGGGAGTGGCAAGTGTTGAGGTCAGTTTCCTGACTCTCATAGTAGCAGAAGTGAACTGGCAATGTTTCTGTCTGGCAGGTATCGCAGCGCCTGCCGCTGCTTTCACAAGTGCCCCCTACGTTATCAATGCACAAGAACCGTACGTCGGTGCACTCATTACAGGTGAGCTGATTGCTTGGGTTTTGTTGTCCAAACTGGAGTCAGTAAATTTTGCCATCTCCATCATTACAGTTAAATTCTTATCATTGTGATGATACCAACTGTTTCTACGCTCAGTGTACGGTAATTTTAAACACAGGACGTAATCTTGAGGTCTCATCATTTCACTTGCTTTTGGTAATAATGAAGTAACATGTAGATAATGTTAATTAATTGTGTAATACTGACATTAGCTAATGAATGTGGTATCTAAGCTGAATATTATACGCCATTAATCGAGTGAGCGTTCTTTTAGGATTGCCGTAAGATTGTATGATTGTATTTTGAGGTTTGCAAGTGTCGGTCTTCCCGTCTGTAATGTGGCATGCGTGTATATACCAGCATTTCAGGGGAACATGCTGTCTGCATCTTCAGGCTCATGTAATAGAAGTAGAAGGGAACTAATAATTAATGTATTGGTACTGCGAGGTGGTGTAAAATGTTGATGATGGCCCATCTCAGATATTGGTGGAGCTCGCCATAGTTGTTCTGTTCCCCAGGTTTTAAAATTGATCCTTTTGAGAATAATCAAAAAACGTTCATGCCAAAAAAGAAGGCTTTTGAATTAATGGTTCTTTTGTTTGTTTATCCTTTATAATAGCATTAGAAAATGGCCCAAAGAAGAATTGTGGGAAAACGAAAGTAGTACTTAAAACACATTTTTAGTTAAAAGTGTGACAAAGCTGCATATAAAAATTTCAGTCGTTGATTTTATTTGTTTTATTAAAGAATATAATATGATTTAATTAATATAATTAAAATGGTGGTGTCTTGGTGACGTCAGTAAGGGGCCTGATCTGTTGATGAGAGTGAATTATTGACCGTGGCTAGTAATTAATTATCACATTTCAGTGGATCTGTGCACTTTGGTGCACGCATGTTTGTATATATATATATATATTATCAGTACTACAAAATGATTACCGGCTAACCAACCAACACTTACCTAATATATAGATAGATTTCCTTGTGTTAAAAGTTGCTTTTCGCTGTAGTAAGGTTATTTTTAAAACTCACATTTGTTATTCCATTATTTTAGGCTGTAGTGTATAGAACAGTGATGGATTAACATAATTTATTTGATAATAAACTGCATTTGTGTGTCTGGAAACCAGATATATTTGACTAAATATGAAAATGCATTGTGATTGTTCATTGACACACAGGACGAGTACTTGAAGGTTGTGTGGGAGATAACTTGTTGGGTGATTCATCTTGGACTTCATCGTGTATCGCAGGTCCGACAGTTGTGCCCCAGTATTATGGTGTGGCAGCAGCCCCATGGGGTGTGTACCCTGCCAACATCATCCAGCAGGGGGCGGCCGCAGCAAAAAGCCGCCGCTCAGCAGAGACGCCCCCTCACCCCATCCTCTGCTTCAGACATAAGCAACAGTTCCACAAATCTGACCCAGGTTTGTAGTAGATGTAGTTTACAGAAGTAGTGTGTTTTTCAGTTTGTAGCTTCTTTTGCTGTGAATCCTGCCTGGGGTGAAGTTTCAGTTTGTAGCTTGTTTTGCTGTGAATCCTGCCTGGGGTGAAAGATTATTTGAATGACAGCGAAACTGTTTTCAGGTGGGCATTGCTGCTGTTGGGCAAGTTGAAAATCAGATCTCGTATCTGTTCAATTTTAGGGACAGTTGGAGAAAAAGACTACAGTAGGAAATGGTACGCTATGTTTGACCCTGAAAGAGCATATTCACGTGGAATATATTAATTTTTATAGTCCAAGTGTATTTTCCTGTTCATGAATTTCATTTCTGCAGCTGTAATTCTCATTTTGTGGTCAGATATATGTTGACATGACCATTTTATTTCCCAATATACATGTGACTGTAATTGTTGTTTCTGCTGAATGGTCCATCCTGCCTTATTAATTTTAATCTGTATTTGTGGCAATAGTGTGTATGGATTTTGTGCAGGTGCAGGGACAGTACCAAGTGATACCCGCGTACTACGATCAGAATGGGTCAATAGTGATGGGAAATGTACGGGGCATCGGGAATGGCACTCCCATGAGGCTGGTGTCTCCCGCGCCCGTAATAGTCAATGCCACCGGGACACCGGGCAGCAACATGAGACTACTTGGGAATCAGCCACAGCAAATAGCCACACCCCCTGCAGCATCAATATACAACAATAGCCAGCAGCCCTCGTTGTACAACTCCACAGCCTCAAATGGGACCACAATCAGTGGTGAGTTCTTTTTCGCTACATGCATTTTGTGATTTACAATTGCTTGATATGTCTGTAGCTGTAAAGTTCTGTTTGTGATTCTAGGACCACGAAAACAGTTTGAATCAGAAGGCCAATGAGTCACTTTAATATAGTCTTATTAATGTTCGCATGTTTTTTTCTTGTGGTATGAAACAAACTAGATCCATATTTGTTGCATGGGCAAATACAGTGGTTTGTGTCCGAACGCTAGACTAACTGCGGATGATGGGTAGGGCTGTGTGGTCATGGAAGGGTGTGTTTGTGCAGGTTTGCAGTCGGTGGCGGCAGCCGCTGTGGCCGCCGCGGGCTCGGCGGCGGCAGCAGGCGTGGGTAACGGGTTCTCGTCTCTAGCCAACACGCTGGCTGCCGGCTACGGAAACAACAGCTTGGGCACCATTGGCTCCCCTGCTCTGGGATCTCTGGGATCAGGTATACATAGAAAAACAGGCGTCATTGTCAGGTGGCTTCAAACTAGGCTTTAACAACAGTAAAATGTGATGTGAGTCATATGAATATTTAAAAACGCTACGACTGCACATCAAAACATGATGTATGTGCAATAAAACTTGCATAATATGTTCGTGGGCTAGGAGCATTTACATATTAAATTCTGTGGCAACTTGTTTTTCCCTGCCCCCCCTTTGTCTCATCAGACCTGATATTTCCTCCAAATTATTAAAAAATTACATGCGCCAAAAGTGATGACTATTTAAAAGACTTGCATAGTTTACTCACATTCTTGTATAAAGTGTGTTCTCTTGGGTGGAATTAGAAACTCTTTCTTTTAGAACTCTTCAAGAGATTTCTGAGCATTTGTCTGTTCTCTTCTGAGGGCTTTTTGTATCGGCATTTGATGTTTCAAATCTGAAATATATTAGTATACACCTTTAAAGAATGTAAGTTTTGAGAAATTTTATGTAAATATCTTGCTTTGCCAGACTATTTTGAAGCCATATTTCATGTTAGATTCCTCCTCCTCTGTAGTCATAAGCACGAGAAACGACGTGTTCGAAACAAGTTCTTCGAGTGTAATGACATTTTCAGGCACTGTAATATTTTGTAACATTTGTTTCTTTGGCAGCATGTGTGGATACACGGTCTCTGTCCCCAAAACAAAGCTCTCCAGAATCATCGACCCCACACTGTTTTCTCCTCGACTCCTTGAAGCCCTACCGAGATAATCCATATTTTCCACTACAGTGTGTGTCCAAATGATTGTGTATCTACTTTGTGTTCTTGTGCTTTGGTTTATTTAATTACCAAAATGTATATAAAGTGTTGTGTTTTTCCTGTGTATTATGTTTGGGTTTGATCGATTGCTTAGCTGTAGAAAATAGTTGTAATTGTCTTGTTGTGTTGAGTAGGTAAATCTATTTTGTACGTTTCTCAGGGCTTGGGCTCAGCAGCAGCAGCTCTGGACGACGAGATTCGTTTGACAGAAATACTTCTGCATTTTCCCCGTCACTGGAATACGGTCGTGGCAAGTGGCCAACGAATTACGGTGCGCTCGGTATGTGAACCCCCATGTACATGAATAAATACTAAGAACTAAAAGGATTGAGATTATGTTGTATTCAGTCATTGTTGCATATAGGTAATTCTTTCACTGATGTGACCCGAGGTGGTTGTGCACTCATTCCAGAGCACGAAGAATAACTAACGTTCAGATCTCTGAATTGCTGATATATTTTCCAGGCACCGTGACTGCATCTCCTAGCCCTATAGGCATACAAGGCTCCCTCACACCCCCACCTGCTCTCTCAACTACTGGAATGGGCAGTTCTTCAAATCTACAGCTGGGAGCGCTGATGTCCGGTGCTTCGGCTACGGGCAGTCGACTCCTCTCGGCAGCGCCGGGAGCTGAAGCCACGAAATACAGAAATGGAGGGTTGCCAGGCATCAACACCAATGGAATGTTTGGGTCAAATAGCTCACTCTTCACAAAGCTAGGCACAGGTGCTCGGGCCACCGGTGTAGCACCGAGTCTCGATAAACCTCCTGGCAGAAGTAGATTGCTAGAGGATTTCAGGTGTGTTGGTGCAGTGTTTTCAGACCATCAAGACTATTTCAGTGATGCGTGATTCCAGCTAAGTTTTCTTTTCTTATCTTTTATTGTGTCCGCAGGAATAATCGTTTTCCAAGTCTGCAGTTACGAGATCTGGCAAATCACATCGTTGAATTTTCTCAAGATCAACATGGATCAAGGTTCATCCAGCAGAAGCTCGAACGTGCCACTGTATCAGAAAAACAGATGGTATTCTCTGAAATCCTTACAGCTGCATACAGTCTCATGACCGATGTTTTTGGAAACTATGTAATTCAGAAATTCTTTGAATTTGGCACACCTGAGCAGAAAACAACATTGGCACAGAAGGTACGAGAGATACGCTTTGCGCTGGGAAAGGTTTCTTGTTCTTTCTTTGGTAATATGATACGGATGGCCACATAATGGTTACTATAATCACAAGTGTGGAAGTAGACTCCACGAAGTAGAAGCGTTTCTTGAGATCAGGTCATAAAGGTTCTGAAATCCTTTTTAGGTGCCTAGTCATGTGTGTCTGTCTGCACGTAACAGCCAAAGAACTGATAAAATGATTTTCCAGTCGAATATAGTCATTTCATAGCTTAAAATCTTGCCCATCTTCTGGTGGGGACACGCCGGGCTTTGCCGCACCCTGCCATGCTATAAGATTGACTGTGTTAACATCATGATTGGCTCTGCATTAAAATTCAATTTTCTGTAACACTGAAATCCATCTTCTACCCCTAAAATCAAGCCAAAAGGTTCATTAGACACACGGTCACAACATTTTTGTTTGCATGAACACGAAGCAGGAAATTGAAGGGAGATGACCAACATTTTAGGAGCTCATTTATTTATTAGATTTAGAGTCATCCTGCGTAGTAAGTGTTTTAAAAAATGTCGCTTATTTCAGGTTCGAGGACATGTGTTGCCATTAGCGTTGCAGATGTATGGTTGTCGTGTGATCCAAAAGGCTCTGGAGTCCATTTCGCCAGACCAGCAGCAGGAGATTGTGCGTGAACTTGATGGGCACGTCTTGAAGTGTGTTAAAGACCAGAATGGAAACCACGTTGTGCAGAAGTGCATTGAGTGTGTTGACCCTCATGCATTGCAGTTCATCATTAATGCATTTTCAAGCCAGGTGAGTTTGTATTGGTGCAAACTGCAGCCACAAAAATCTCCTGTTACAAATTTCTAGTTGCACCACTGGCGATTAATGAAATTAAGGCTTTTTATACGTGCAAAAATGTGTCATTGATTTGTTGTGTGTGTCTGCGTGAGATCGTTCAAGGCAAAACTTTCAGTTGTTTATGCATCATTGATGGCGTCTGTGTGTCCGATCGCAGGTGTTCGCCCTCTCGACTCACCCCTACGGTTGCAGAGTAATTCAGCGTATCTTGGAGCACTGCACACAGGAACAGACAACTCCAATTCTGGAGGAGCTGCATCAACATACAGAGCAGTTGATTCAGGATCAGTATGGAAATTATGTCATCCAGCATGTGCTTGGTGAGTATTCTTTCAAGGTACCAAAGAGAGATAAGACCTTGGTGTTTTATGTATTCTTCATGGCCCAGTGTAGGTCGTTAAGAATAGATTAATTGTATGAAAAAAAGTTTGAGTTAAGGGAAAGAATGTATTCTACAGTTTATGTATGTTTGACTTGACAGAGCATGGGAAACCCGAGGACAAATCGCAGATTATCTTGTCTGTTCGTGGTAAAGTGCTGGTGTTGTCTCAACATAAGTTTGCCTCCAATGTCGTGGAGAAGTGCGTGACTCATGCGACACGTGCCGAAAGAGCTATTCTGATCGAGGAGGTCTGCAATTTCAACGACAAGTAAGTGGTTTCATGTATTTAAGTAGACACCAGCCAAGGTCTTCCTGCTTTTTAACTGAAGCATAAGGGTACTGCTTATCAACTGCATTGTGTGAACGTATTTACAGCACCACAAATGTCGGAAGGACCGACTACGATTAACGTGAGGAGATGGAACAGACCCGATGGCCTAATTCGTAAATTTATTGATGTTGATGACTAATGCTGAGTGTGAAAGTATTAAAGTAGTGTATTAAATATTAAAAATATTACATGTCTGAGAACCTCTTTTAAAATGAACAAAATGAGTGACGGACAGATGGTCTTTCTAAAGCTTGAGTGATTCATCGGTTGAAATGCCCTGATTTAGGAAGTAAAGTTTTGAAGTCTTATTAGAATCTGAAATTACAGGTACAGTATTAAAAACAAACTTTTTGTCCTTATAAAAATTGGTTGATTTGATTGTGAGGGACAGTACTGATACTTTTTCTTACTAAAATGAAGTTCTTTCAGGATTATGCTAATGTATATAGTCTGTGACTTTGCATAAAGAATTCCATATGATTAAACCCATTGGGTCTCTTAATTTTTTGTGTTTTATGTTAATTAAATTTGCAAGAAAATCTGAGATTTTTGGAATTTTTCAGTGAATGTTATCTTACGACATTTAAAGAATCTGTAGTACTTTTACTTTTTGTTTCATCATTTGCCATTTTTGCGCATATTGTTACTTGATCCACAAACCTTGGACCCCACTATGATGTTTTACTGCATTTGGTACAGTGCACTGCACGTCATGATGAAGGATCAGTATGCCAACTACGTGGTGCAGAAGATGATCGACGTTTCTGAGCCGGCACAACGCAAGGTCTTGATGCACAAGATCCGGCCACACCTGAACTCTCTGCGGAAATACACGTACGGCAAACACATCATTGCCAAGCTTGAGAAGTTCTTCATGAAGACCGCGTCGGCCATGGGCGTTGGGGTCGGAGTAGGTGTCGCCGTGGGACCAGATCTCGGACCGATCGGTCCACCCACTAACGGAGGCTTGTGAACTGCGCCTCCTGTTCATTATGTACATAAGCGATGGAGAATGTAGAACTACTCATCCTCTGGCAGTGTCATGGGCAGTCTTATTTTTCTTTTCTGCTTTATTGCTGCTCCTAAGAGACTTTTCCGTGCATAGTAATCCGTGGAAAAGAATTGAGGTTGTTGCATAGGGAAGGAGTGCCCTTTGAATTTTTCATTTTGTTTTTTCTGTCGGGTCAGTTTGGTTTACTGGAGCATTTGCGTTATTCCAGCGTTGGAATGTTCACAGTATTTTATTTAACTTGTAATGGATGTAAAAATGTATGCTTTTAGTTTATTACACCATGTTTTTGTGCAGTGTGAGATATGTATATATTGTGAAGCAATCCCCATTCTGAGACGGTGTTTCGTTCTCGGAAGAATATTACTTCTCTTAAGAGGTGCGCAGAGTTGCAGGCTTGGAAATGCAGGGATGATAAATGTGTGGTAGTTGGATTCCACAGTGCACCAGAGGGGGTTGGGTGTGTTCTGTTTTAAAAATGCATTTTTGTTCCAGATGACCAAAGTAGTAATTGCCGTGTCCTGTCAGAGAAGAGTAGTGTGAAACATTGCAAGGGATGTTCCAATGTTAATAAAGATGAACCTCCACTTTGGCCTGTAGTGCCAATATTGCCGTTTCTTGGGACATCCCTCCGTGTTTCCATGTGTCTCATATACTTATAACAGTGTGAATGAATTAAGATGTTGGGGGGTGAAAAAGATTATGAATTGTGTAAGGCATTGGAAAGGGATGGGATGGCAGTGTCCAATCAATCTTCCAGAAAGAACCCTATTTGAAACTATGCCCTCGCCGAAGAAGGTGGACGATTTGTATATACATTATAGTAATGTGAAAATTTCCAAAAACTTTTTTCAGATTTTATTTTAGTTAAAATGCCTCTCCTTTTATCAGATGTAAGGAAATAGAAAATTATGCTGAAGTAAGAAGACCTCTGAGTTAGGGTTTTCACAAAGACAATGCTACTAGAATTGAACATTGTATATAGATTATGTGGCATAGCGACGGATGGATGAACTTTTATGTAGCTTTCCCCTCCTGTCATACCCTTAAATCAGTGGTGGGTTTATGAGCTTGTTTTAAGAGATTGAGAAACTGGGATTTTTGAAAGTGAAAATATTTTTAATTGTGGCATTTACTTGCAATAGCCTGCTTGGTAAAATAGAATAGTTTTTGTTTTCATAATTCTAGACACGCAGATAATTAAATGAATATACTGTAAATTGAGTAATGTGTATTGAGATTTCAATAATTACTTTCATTTGTACATTTTCAAGTCAAGGAACAAAAGTTACTTTAAAAGCAAGCATTTTAAGAGTTATATTGTGTAAAGTGATACATTGTAATTATAATAGTTTTTTCATGATGATGTATTGTATTAACCGAGTCAAATCTGTAAGTGCTAGTACAGAGTTGCTGTGGAATCTGTAACGCTCTGTGAGACTTCTTTGGACGGGTAGCAAAGTTCTTATTGTGGAATAGACAGCAAGCAAATGTCATTTATAAATTAATGCAGTTAGTTGATGGGCCTTGAACAAGTTTGTGAAGTGAAAAGCTACAATATCTCAGAGCACTTGGAAAGGAACACACGAATCTTCACCGGAAAACCTACTATGGCGTGTAACAAACCATCATCAAATTGTGATAAAACCCTCAGGTAATAGTTGCTAATGGATTTTTAAAAGAGAATACAAAAAATTCAAAAAATAAAAATTCCATATACTTGCTGGACAAAAATGTCACGCGTGAAAACAGCTAACTAGCAGCAGACAACACACGACATCCATCGTAAGGCTCTAACTGCCGAGATCTATTTCTTCGCCCCTACCCCCAATATAAAACTAAGATAAGTACTGAGTAATTGAAATCTAAATACTGTACATTTCTCCAAGACTTTTGTGTAAAGAGAATGCAGTTGATACTTCAAATAATATCTTTAGAACAATTGTACAAAAGACACAATCAAAGTTGTACAGTTTTTAAAAACTTATGTAAATTACTGCAATGCATTTTGAAAAGAAAAAAAAAGAAAGAAAAGCAGGGTTTAAATATCACATTTTTAAAAATTCTTCACTTACCAAAGCTATGCTCTTCTTAAGGTGAATGTATATAAATTCCCAGTATTAAAAGTCTTCATTACCGTAGCTAGTCGAAGTGGAATAGATAGCCGACAGATCCGTTTCCCGGCACGCATGTTTCAGAACAGGCGTGGCAACGCGTAGATAGATGTTTGCTGCTAGTGCACAGTAGTCGAGCAGGTTTCTGTACCACACGTTTCATTTGCAGGGGCCATGTAAATGCTGTAAACAGCCATTTGGAAATTGAGGAATCAAAATAGTCGTATACACTGAATTGCCATGTTCGATTATAGGAAGTTGATTTTTGATTTTAGGATATCACTAGATGGGTTTGTTATCTTTTGAAAACATCCTACGAATTCCACGTAGAGTAATATGAGTATGAGTTGATATATAGGAAATGTGATTAACCATCATCGCTCTCATGGCCGTTTGTACCTATGTACCATACAAAATGCTTCGTCACAGTATCGATGCTTTCGTTGTCCGCACCAGAAACGCGCCTCGTTCACCTCCTGACCACAGATCGCACCTCATCCTTGTGCACTTACACAAATTGCTTCATTGCTCAAAGAAAAGTGCATTCATTGTTGACACCCTTAACCGCCCATTCTGTGAGAGAAATCCACGCTGATTCAGATATAGTATATGTAGTTTTTCACAAGATGCACATAGTACATGGTGGGAAAATTAAATTTAAAGTTATATGTGAATTTAGTATAACCACATCAGTAAATAACGTGCTCCGGTCTGTCGTTTGTACTGTGTACCTTGACCCACCCCCAGCTCTTATAGAGTACTGGCCAAATTCTCTATGATCTACCCTGAAGTTGGAGACACGGTAGCTTGTACATTATCACAGTAGAGTCGTTTATCCAAAATAACTTGTAATAAATGTATGGTGTGTTTGTGTGTGTATGCATACCAGTTTATTATCTTTTGATACAGTCTTGCTTTTAATTTCGTGTATTGAAAGGATTGGACATTCATAAAATTTGTCCTGAATGTTGACGTCGTAAATTTTGGTATAATTTTATCGGCACCAGGAACTTCTGTCAGTTATGTTTCGCTGTGTGATTAAGGTAAAAATTCTATTCTGTACTTTGAAGTACCCCTGCTTCGCATTTATGTTGCATATTACCTCCTGTATGATTTTATACGTTGACAGAAATTATTTGAAACACGGTAATGATATCTTTAATATTCAGTCTATAAACCTTCATTTGTTTTAGCATTAGTCGTTCGGTGTTTTAATCCAATTTGAAGTTTTGCATCATTCCCAAGCTTGCATATTTTACCAAAATTTGCAGTCTCATGCTTTTGTTTCTTCAACAGATTGAATGTATTTTGCAACTTAGAAGTCGGATTTAGCGTCGGGGAATGAGTCGATATTTGGGGGATGGGAAGTGTTCTGGCATTTACTAGGTCTCCCATATTTTCCACGCCCCATAAATGGTAAATGCCGGACTCTCTCTCGTCTTGTCCGTCGCCTTCCTGTGTATAGCTCGTTGAAACTGCAGACTAACAGTTCTGAGGGCATGGAACTCTTATAGTTGTAGATGAATGTTTTGATAACAATGATCTGGCTTTGTGTATTATTATTATTATTATTATTATTAAGGTTGCATTATTTCATATCATACTTGTATTGAGAAGGTAAACGATAGCTGGTTAGGAAAGACGACGTAGAATTTGCAATGTTCTTGATTCTTCTTATTAGTTGTCCAGATGAAAACATTCCCATCTTTATTCATAAAAATGTCGTAATTCATCATAGAAAGTGTATAATAGTAATAACAGCGTTATATATCCCTCGTATAAAGCGGTGCTCTGTGTCATGTCGCAGTTCTGCTTTTATGCCATCTTTCCATAACATGTAAAATACATTTATCATTCTTCAAAATTATTATTATTATATTATAATTATTACGGTATAACAAGGAAAATAGCCTGGAAAAATGTGTACAGTTTTTACTGGATGAGTATTTATTTTTAATATGTAAATTTTGGTGATGTTTATATCATGGTTGAATATTGATTGTTGTGTTTCCTTATCTGCATAAATGATCTGACTTTTCCTGCTTCATTTCCTCGAGAGTTGTATTGTATATAACAAATGCTGTGCAGTCTGTGCATTATAACTCAGGCAAATAAAACTCCTAAGTAATGGAAGACCGTCGTTAATTTTTGAATAAAGATGTGGATTGTTTTTAATTATTATAATTAAATTTTTTTAGAGCATACCTATTATTTTTTGTAGTATGTAATATATATCATATAAACTACTTATTACCTATTAATAATGTAACAATTGTAGCTGTATTTTTTCATATATTTGCATGTATTTTCTACAAATAATACTTGTAGCATATATACATATAACTACATATACATAAATGGTATGATGATGGAATGATGTTTAGATGTAGGTTAGTGTTCAGTCATAAAGATCCTAGAATTAATTTCCCTGTGAAATATTTTTATCATGTGAGAAATATTGTTCATTTATTAAGTACTACTGATCTCGTGATTCACATCCAAAATCAGCTGAAAATAATTCACGAAACCTTGAGGTCACCACATAATAGGATCATGAGAATTGTTATGCCCTTGTGTTAGTGCATACAGTGTGTTAAACACGATGTGTTGCACTGAAGTGACCTATGTTGTTCGTACTTTCTAATCTCGTAATACCAGACCGCAGTGTGGCAAAGTTGGGGCAGGAGTAGATGAGTAGATGTGTGTTGGAGTGCATAGCGGGGCCCGTGTCTTGGTCCGCGGACGCTAGCGACTTTTAACTTTGTTATGTTCAAGGAGAACTGGAACGCTGAAATCGGTCAACACGGGTCATTTCGTAATTGGCATTGCTTTCTGAATATTTAATTTTCTAACTTATCATGATATCCGTCTTGCACATACTTTTTAAATTATTATTATTTTTTGAAACTTTTCTGCATTTGCAGAAATTTCACATTCTCAGTTACAAAACTGTCTGTAAAAATTCATTCCGTCGGTGATTTTTCATGTAAAAGGCTGTGTGGTCGTGTGCTCATTTTGCTGTAATGCTAAGTTTGGGGTCCATTTCTGATAGGTAACATTTTTCAAATATGTATGCTCCATAATCTATTGAAGTGAGTGTAGCCGTAGAAGACCGAAATATTAAACAGATCTGCCGTTTCTCCAGTTTTAGCTGCGAAGTTTTGAAGGTCATACCTCCGCTAATATCGAAGATAATGGGGCATCGTGTAAGAAAATTTAACATTGTCATGATAAATCATTCCAATTCCCCTTGAACTGCATATTATTTTGAGGAGCAAATGAAATGCAGTTTTGGAAATGTGCAGAAATTCAAAATGCTTGTGCGTAAGGTTGTAGCTCAAAATTAAATGTTTTCTCTTACCGACTCCTTGACGGGTTGTGCGCGTAACGCGGCCAAGATGCGGGCGTCCGTGCCGTGCACTCCGACGAGTGGCTGTAGCATGCCCACTTTCTTGTTAGGTGTCTGGTATTTTTGTCGTTGATGTTGGCAATGTGTGTACTGAGAAGCTAATGCTTTGTTGTGTGGACTGTAGAGGAGGATTTGTGGGTTAAAACTGAACGTAGATTCTCTCGGCTGATGAACGTGTTATGCCTGGTCATTCATCATTTTAGTTTTTGTACAGAACCTTTTCTTGGCTGTCATTTGTGCCAGGGAAAGTTTTTTGAAAAAAACTTAAACTAACCTTGCAGCAGGATTTCTGTATGTAGACAAGACGGTGGTGCACTTCCGCATCGCTGTATGAATGCAAAATGATTTTAAAAATATCTTTTTGGTTCACCAGGCATCAGTGTAAGATATTTTATGGTAAGCAGAAAACATTTCAGGTGAACCCTTTGCGTTTGAGTTATCAGTCACTGTAAATATTTAGGACTTTTTTAACTTTGTCAAAAACCAGGAATATTACATTTGTGAAGAGTGCCCATTATATATGAAATTAGTACTGAATCGTATGTCCATAGTGAAATTATTGTTTAAAAAAATCTTATTAAAGCAAAGTTATATATAATATTAAAGGAAAAAAGTTTTGTCAAGACTGATGTAAAGTAAAGAAACAAAACAAAAACAAAAAAATTGAACAAATTACCTGCATTTGTATAATGTATGTATTTCTGTGGTTTGCACAGCTTTGATGTTTATATATTGTAAAATACGCCAAAAGCTTGCGATGAGAAGAATCATTTAGGCTTTTTTGTACGTATATAATATTCTCTCTCTCTCTCTTGTTCATTCCTTAAAAAGTGTTTTTTATGTGTAGAAAGGCTTTAGTTATTTTTTAATTATGCCTTAACCATTTGCACATAACCTGTAAGAACTGGTTGCTTGCGTAACATTTATGTAATGCGAGATTCTGTTTCTGTTGCTCTCGTGTCTTGGCATTAGGGTCTTTCTTTTGTGTGTGTTTTGTGCCCACTTGTACATAAAACATACGGACACGGATGATAGTCGGTGCATCAGTTGCATGCGTCACTGTTCATAATAGTCTGCGCTCTTCTCGGGTTTGATTTCCGTTCTGTTAAAAACCTTTCCCAGTATCAAATGGGCGTAATCTTGGTGTCACCGTTTCCTAGGTTTTTGCATTTTATTTGTTGCCGAGCGGGCGGATGGGACAAACGGCCTGGGAAGGCCGCCGGTCCACCGCGTACGTTCATATTCCACAAAACGCAAAATGAGCATCGATCAGTAAACGGTATAAGATCTCTGCTCCAAATTCTGTCTTCATGACCAAGTACTTTTTGCACTGGCACGCATTTTATGGCTAAATCTTTTCAGTTCAATACTTTTCTACCTCTTTCGTAGTAGTTCTTCATCGGCCATAACTCATTCTCGTTGTGTTTAGGAACAGCTATTTCATGTGTAAATACGTTTTCCACCGAAGTAACATTTACCTGTTCAGTAAAAGTATTTTTGTTGTACTTTATTAGCATCTCGAATATGTATAATCTAGAAGGAGCCGTATGTAATTTTCTTAGCGTAGAGACTTAAATTTCCAGGCGTAACCCAATTTTGTCCACGCTTTCTGGTTAAAGAGAACTGCGCTGAATTTCTGTGTGTTCGGTTGGCATTGTTAAGAAACCACATTTGCACTGTCGCCCAAGCTTATAGAGAGCGTCCGCTTTATTTCCTGCTATTTTCCATCTTTAGAAGCTTGACGGAAATTTCATAGAATGTACAGTGTAAGTAGTTTAAAACAGAGGGACTTCTCGTACATTTTTTTGTTTTTCGTATGGGGCACATTTCATATATTTTATAGAGATTGTGGGTAAGCCTCCTTTTTTTATAAAAAGATATATCGGTGATGGAATGAAGCGATATATTCTTGAGCGTGTTTCGTTTTATTTAAAAAGTAATATTTTGTGTTTTTATCTGGTATACTCCGAGGGAAAGAAATTGGACCAGATGTGAGTGCGGAAGCATTTAACACCTTGGACTGTAGTTTATGCGTGTGACTTTCAAATATATTTTGGGAAGACACGCGACCTACAAGCTGGGATTTTTCTTATAGATGTTCCATGGGGAGATTAATGTCAAAATTTATTTATATATTTTAGTTTAGTGCAGATTAGTAAGTTTGTACTTTGAGTTTTTAATATGTTTTCTATATATATTTATGGATAAATAGAATTACAGCTGTTTTAGTTAGGTTATTAGCTAACTTGCGACTTCATATCCAGTGCATTTGTGACAATTAGGGATGTAATATAAATTAAAACATTTTTTTTATTATTATTATTCTGTGAAATAATTGAAAGAGGAAGCGAGCGGCACATACACACATACTGAAATTTTCGCAAAATCGTCGCCTACTGATTTTATAGACGAGCCCCATGTTGAAGCAAGCAGCTTTTCTGCAAGGTTTTGTGTTGCAGACGGTAATATTCATAACCCTCTTTTTTTTATATAATTATTGTTAGATTGACAATTGGAAGTTAGACTGGGTTTTGTTACTGCTGCATTATTGTATGTTAATTCACCCTGAAGAAGCCCCCTTCCTCATACATTTCTATATTAAAGAAATATATGTAGAAAAAGAAGACCTCCACACAAAGTGAAGTAACTTGTATATGGTTGTACAAATGTAACAATCTACTTGTGAAAGTAATAAAACACTTTCTGTAATGATCATATATAAAAAGAGAAGCCACTGTATAGTGTTTTTATGTAAATATTCCTACTAACATCATTCTACGTGTATATGTATAAAGGTTGAAGTAGATAAATCGGATTTTCAAACTTTCAGAATAAAATTGTACACATTTTGAAACCTTTAATTAGGTTCTCTGCATGTCTAAATGTTTGAATTTGCTGGATTTCAGTTTAAAAACACGTCTGTAATTTCTTATTTGTCCTTTCGAAATTTATTTACATGGATCATTTAATGGATTCTGGACCCCCCCCCCCTTTTTTGTATCAAATTCAAAAGGTAGGCCAAATCATGGTGATACAGTAAGTAACCCTACTACAGATGCACCACGTTCGCTTGTCACGTCAAATGTCCTCTCTGCTGACGCCCGTTCCATAAATCCCGTCATTCTCGTGGTGAAGGCGAGGTAGTGTGGTGGTATGCATGTTTGTTGAGACATTACATAACATCGTTCGTCCTGAATTACAGTGAAATTGTAATCAGAATGACTAATTTTACTGGGGACTGCCCTGCACTCCTACAAGCTGCCATTTTCCTACCAGAACCGTAAACAGTCTTGAGATCTGTTGGATTTTTGTGTATCGGCAGTTGGATGGTGGGTATGAAACAGCGTTGCTGGAAAGCTAAAACAGATCGAGGTCTCAAACCAGTTTGCTCGTCTTACCACTCCGTCGGTCATGTAAATAGTTGGTTAGACATCTGAAGAAATGGAATTAAAATAGTTTTCATATTAATTGAAGCAAGATACTGCTGTGAGGTGCCTGAAAAGGTCTTGCATTTATCTTGATGTTTCGGCAATAAGATCATTCCCAAATTTGTGTTCTTTTCTACCTGAACAGTGCACCACGGTGAACAAAAAGAACATGTAGGTTTGCCCTGTTAGCCCGGTTAACACTTTAAATAACGAAAAAAATAAGTGATGTTTATTGATATTCCATAAATTGGAAAACACCGATACTGATCAGATAATGTGCATAATTAATCAACCCATTACGGGTAAGTGACCTGCTAACCACCACGTTCGGGGTCAAACGTTCCCCGAATGTTTGCGCAGGCGCATTCAGAAGAGATTAGACGGACTGTTTGGTGTTGCAAACTGTGATGTTAGCCAAATCTCGACTGCTAACACGATTCTTATTCGCGTGCTAGTTAACGCAATTAATTTCTCAGCCTTTGCTGTACGTGTGTGCCGTGTTACTAGTGACTGTGCACTCACGGCCCCCTCGCCTCGGGAAAGTCCCTGATGTAATGTTCTCCAACAAAGCTCAACGATGTGAAATGTACGTATTTGTAAGAGAGCGTTGCTTTCTGAAGTGTTTTTGCATTACAGAGCAGTGCTTCTGGAATACTCGTGACAACCTGCGGGCCGAATGTATCCCTAGGAACCCTTATATGAGGTCCGTCACATGATTTGGGGATTAGCCAGTGTGAGAAGGGCGAAAATGTTTCGCTCCTGAGGAATATTCTGTTGGGAAGGTATTACCTAATGGGCCCGTTTACCTCCTTGGGTATCCTATAACCCGGATAAAAACATCGAAAACTCAAAGCTAGGCGACCTGCTTCGCCCTGTATTGGCAAAGACATGAACTAATGTAAAGATAAGTGAATTGCCGCGCTATACGAAAGTACATCGAGTGTAATTGTTTGGAAGGGTCGCTCCAGTTTACAAATTAACATAGCCGCCATGTTGGGGGGGTTCGTTGAAGTCTTCTGTGTGAAAAACGAGCTTCAAGGATCAGTGCAGTTGCGTGATGTTTCATGTTAATTGGCCTCACGCTGACATACACGAAACTTCCTGTGTCAGAGGGGAGATTCTGAAAGCTGCTGGTTACTCGGTTACATTGATCTTTAGATTAATCCACTTTTAGGTAGTTACATTTTCTTAGGGGTAGGCCGGTCCAATATAAATTTAGTTTTATTTTCAAAAGGCGGTGATAATACGGATCAAAATGAATTATTATCGATCTTAACTATGCTGTCATCTCGATGCTTTTGACTTCGTCTATATCGCGTCATCATTCTGCGATCTGAATGATTGATCGAGATTACTGATCTCGATTACTCTGGTACAATCGTAACTGGTCGCGTCGGTCTTAACCTGATAACATTCTTTAACGACCCAGGACTCTGATTTCAAATCGCTGAGTGACATTTCAGGTTCACGCGTCGGGATATTGCGTCGTATAGTGTGACGTTTCAGAGGTGCTTGTTGCCTCCATCATCAGGGCGATGATTCATGTCCTGATGATAGACGCAGCAGCGACCTCTAAAACCAGGCTGCACGGTGCAACAACCCAGAACACAGTCTATCTTAGTTTAAGGCCTGTCGCTTTCGTGTTTCATGATCGTGAGGTCCCTGGAACGGTCCCTGTAGTGAGTAAATAACTATTAATTAAGATTAAATATAAATTTACGTATACGATTTTGAAAATTTTTCGTCCAACGACGTTTCAGCAATAGGTTGATTACTTCATTAAATTCCAAGGCCTCCTTAGTTTTCGATAACTGGCCACTGCAACTGGATATCGGTACTAAGTGTTCTTAAAAACGTCTTCACGATCGTAGCTGATCAGGACGATGTCGACAGTGTCACATCCCTGCAGATGGACTGCTCCATGCGCCACGCGATCGATGCCTGTTGGCCTGGACTCCTACTTCTGCTGTTATTTATCTTGTCTTTGTTCCGATAAGTGTCAGTGCTGGAATGGTTAATTGGGTCCGCCATAGTGCCGACAGTGTAAATGTGAGAAACTTATTACCCGACTCATACGTATATTGCGAATGGTTTTCGCGAGCTACAAAGTACTGACGCTGGGAAATAATGTTTTCAGTATGGACAGTACGTGCTTCCTTATCTGCCCCCCCCCCCCCCAACTTGCCTTTACTTCTAACGGACGTCGAACTCACAGATTCGCCCCGACTATAGTAAAAATAAATAGAAGGAACGTACCTTGTGACTGAAATCACTGACAACGAAAAGGGGTAATATTTTGAGGTTATACAGGACAACTTTCAGGTAGGAAGCTAATGTGACAGTGAATGTCATTACTAATGTTAGTATAATCCATTCCAGACTAAAACATTTAACCCAATGGTAACTATAGGTACCACCTGTTTTAACAATCAGTTGCTATGCATTTTTCCTCACAGACAAGGCTTATATTTCCCTACTACATAAGCGGAAACGAATTGATCTTTGTTCCGGTGAATTGCTGTTCTCTTTGAGGTAGGTACTAGATTTTTCAGACATTATTTTTATGAAACGATTCTGACGATGGCGTAATAAAATTCGGATTTTGAGTTCTTGGACCTTGTTATAAAATGACACTTTTCGAGGATTGGATCTGTCCTCGTCTCCTACTCTGTGGGGCCCGTTAGATTGGTATTAGCTCATTCTCTGCGTTCGACGTCGAAAGTAAAATTCAAGGGGTCAGGGGGGTGGGAGGGGTAGTAGATTCAGAAGCATACACAGTCCATATAAACATTATTTCCCAGCAGCAGTACTTTGTAACTCGCTGAATGAGTTCCAGTGACGGAAATGTTTTCGGTTTAGATAGTACACGCGTATGTTTTATCGTTATACCTTCAAGCTAGTGACGTAAACGAAACGCACAGTTTAGTCGAGGGTACAGGACCCTGGAGGTTCGTAGTTCGTTGGTACGGTGCACCGTCTAAGCTTGCCAGCCACAGAAGTTCGTGTCTGTTAACATCACATAATCTAGGGCAACTGTCAGCTTGTAGCGGCAATCTCTTTGCGGTCGGCTTACTAATGCACGACGCTATCAGCTGATACGAGAATGTGTTTGTAGCAAGTGAAGAGGGGCCTTTGTCTGCCGATTACCGGGTTCGACCACGACTCAGCAAATCTGCTTCATGGTCCCTCTGATGTTTACTGTGAGAATGGAACTACTTTGATTTTTAAAGCAATTTTAAGTACTCCTTCATGACACAAATGGAACTATACTTATTACGGTTCGTAAATATTTTCTACAGCCCGAATTTGTACTCTATTTAGCAACGATTTCTCAGCTCCTGTAGCTTTGAATGCGATGACGATAAGGATGTGGTATTGACCTATTTTAAGTACAATCCGATAATTTTCCTTGGTGGACTGAGTGAAGAGATAAAATGGCTCTATCAGGAGTCCCTGGACGGTTCTCAAATAGTAAACTTTCAAATTGTTCTATGGTTCCAGTTACTTTCTGTTCACTTTGACTTTGAATCATCGTGTTCTGTTGCCAGTCATTTAATTACTATCCATTCAATTGTTTGTGCGACGGAAACCTTAACAGGTGCGGATTATGTTGAAAACTGGTCGAAAATCGCTAAAAAAACACTGATCACTCGGGACAAATGATGAAAAGTTAACGTCTCGTTAAACGATTTGTATCATATAATATAAAATAACTTGATATAATGAGGTCTGAAGTAATTTATCATACGATGCAGATCATATTTAATGAGATGTTATGACGGTTGATGAATTGGAATCATAAATGGGTTGATTTCATTATTAAGAATCGTATTCTTCGATTGTCACCTCGAAAATAACTACAAATATTAACATTAGTTCTCAAGAATTATCAGAAATGTTCTTCGATTTAATTTAAAACCTCGAAAATTTAGGCACGAAATAAGAATTTTTTCCAGTAGGTACACGTATTTGCGACTTAAAGCCATCACGGATCTGGATAACCTTTCCTCTAGCTATGGAACATTCCGGTATCTCGGAACCAATAAACCTGCTCCGAATATAATTTGCGTTATGGACATGGCGATATGCGCAAGAATTCCTGTCAAATGGAATCTCTCAAGAATGAAAAAAGTTCCAGGAACACGGCGAGAGTTTATTTCCAGATTTACGAACTAATACCTTATCTCGTTCCAATAAATTTAAAATTGGTAACATGTATAAGACAAGAGATGCAATGTGTTCGTGTTGGTTTGTCGAAGGAGAATATTGGGACCTTTCAAAGTAATTCAAATTTACCTTCGCATTTGACACTCATCTGTCATGTTCTTTACCGATTCAGTACAGTTTAATTCTTCCGTTTAATCCTTAGACACTGAAACAAAGGAACACGAAGATGGGTCATTCGCACGTACGCAGTGAGCATAGTTTCAGTTCAGCTCCTGTAGAAGCAAGCCAGTCTCCCGCGACGCCTGTAACTCTGTCTTAAAAAACGACACTCGGGGAGTCAGTTCACTGCAGAAATAAGCAATGAATTATTCTTACCTATCAAAATTTACTGTTCCAAGAAAGAATACTGCAACGTCACGTGCGTTCTATTATTTACCGTCGTGGTTCCGCATTGCGATTTCTCGATTCGCCAACGCTAGTCAAGGAACGGAACAGCGGTGCATATTTAAAGTTTGAGCTAGGGAATCTGAGTAACACTGCATTTCATCTGATGGGCTATGCTATGTTCCGGTGTGTGGCTTAACATTCAAGCATGAAAGTAAGACAACACTCGGGCTAAATCCGGCGATTACAGCGTCGTAACTTTGGATGGAGAGTATTTCGCAGAATGGTTTATTTATTTATTATTGACTGCAAATGGGTTTTTACCCGGTATCAGTGGTCCTACAATAAGACACACTCAAAATAAAACAACTCATAAGATTACAAAACCATATAACCTAAATCAAATCTAAAACTTCTTGACGATGGTGAAGAGTCAATTGAATAAAAATTTTCTTGGATATTACCCATCTTCTAAACGTCGTTTTACGTTTTTATATTTACTAGACGATGGATAATATCCAAGAAATTTTTTTTATTCATATAACCTAAAGTACATAACTTAAAAATTACCACAGGAATGTAACGTAAAACAGACTTATTGAAAATGTTCATGATTTTTAAACAAAATAACATATGTCATGACTAAATCGAATGGACTTCTATCACGATTTGAAAATTCACAGTTCCGTTTTCTCTGAAAATATCAAAAAAAAATGGCCACTGAGCAAACCAAAATTGGACTTTTCGTGTGTTATGACGCCGTTCAATTTTACAAATGTTGCTAAGGTCAGGCAACATTTAGAAGCATTTATAGAAGATACAGACACAGGAACGGAATTTGCATAAGAAACGTATCATTTCCTATGTCAGGCCTCACATCGCGTGCCTGAAGTCTACCACGTGAGAGAACATACCCCACAACAATGACACGTGTGAGTCTGTGTCACACACAGCCTCTCTCCGGTTGCCTGGCAACCGCCGGCTGCAGTTTCGATCGGTCCAGACAACGCGCTACGGCCCCGCGCAGTGGAACCCAAGCCAGCGGGTGAGAGAGGAGGCACAGGTCGTGTGGATCGTCTGAGATTCAGTTCCATGGACCTTCCGATTGCTCTGTTCCTGATTACGGTTTCCAGTGAACATCTATTGCTTCTGTATTGCTAGTTCAAGCAGAACTGTGTAGGACACGGCCCATGTAAGTGACCACCTTAATTAATTTTACTAAAATATTCTCGCTGCATTATTTTTTATTTCACAATTTTAGTCACTGGTGTTTTTTTTTGTGACTACATGAGAAATGTCTACATTTTAAAAGTTACAAAAGTTATTCTGGTGTAATTCAGTACAATCATTATTCTGTAATTGACCTAATTTATTTAATTATTTTGCGCGGGATTGCCTATAGTGTTACGTTCCTCTTAAATCGTCAAGACGTTTACGATCAAAAATTTAAACAAGTGTTTGGTAACACTGGTTATTATTAGGCGTGGCTACAGTCATTCTGATTTTGGGGGATTAGTTTGGCGTTATGTTATTTTGGTAGCACTGTTCAGAAGAAGTGGATTGAGGTCTAGTTATCGAAATTATATTTTCCTTCGGTCGCAACTGTTTTCCTTTCGTCATTGACTGTACATTCAAATGAGTAGGGTGGGCTAGGGTGATTATAATTTGTTAAGCGACTGTATTATTCTTCCGTTTGGGTAATTTTAGTTCGACAAGAATTTTTAACAGCGAGTGTGGTGTGAATAGAGTACGAAATATTTCCATAGAATCGACTGAGCAATTACTTTTTTTCAGATTCGTTAACGTGCTTACGGTTTTTTATTTTTATTAGAAATATTTTACTTGGAAAATTACGTTTCTGAAGGATTAATTAAATCCTAAATGGCGTTGTATCATTTTCAGAATTTATATCGTGCGATACTTGGATGAATACAAATGGAGGGCCACAAGGATAAAGAAATTAGTTTACTTGAAATTACGAATATTACAAAATTGTGTTGGACAGACTGAGTAAAACTTAAAAAAAAAATACTTGCCCCCTTTTGGAGATGACATACGAACCGAGAGAACGGGTGTTTGCTGCTGGTATTTGATCCGGGGAACCTCAGTTACAAATCAGTTATCTCATTTGGTGTTAATACGTTTACTCAATTTCGGTAAGAGCGATCTTGTGCCACAGTCAGTGTAGTTACTAAAACGACCGGAGTTCTGTTCTCGACAGGGGCAGAGATCTTTGCTTCGCCACGATGTCCAGATGACTTTTGAGGTTTACCCAGCCTCCTTCCCATACAGCGAGTACCGGGGGCTCATTCGCGATGATAAAGTGGGCGGAGCGTGAAGCTAACTCACCAACTAGTGGATGTATACCTCACACAGAAAGGGACTCGTGTCTTCATGGCTTGGCACTTAATTAAGCAATGAGAGAATTTTTTCGTAATGCCATAGGTTTCTGTTCGTAATTTTGATTTTGAAAATTTCATTAGAATGCTTTTTACTCAATATATCGAGGCAGTTTTATTCTGGAAAAGATTTTGGATTTATTTACTTAAGATGCTTTCGGAACGTTAGACCTGTTCCTGACGAATAATAACGACTGGTTACATTGATCGTGTTGTGGTATCCCTGTCTGAACTGATTCGTGCTTTTACCAAGTACAGTACATAAACAGGGAATATATAGCGTGACGTTCTAGAAAATGTAACATCAATTGATCCGACATAAAATTTGGTTTCCTTTTTGTAACGTGTTACGCAGTCTTTATCAGACAATAAACGCAATTGACCTTTCAGAGCGCCTTTAATAGGCCTAATCTTTGTTTGGTTAGTGACGCTCTGACAGCTGTGTGTATTAGAGATTTCAATGACAGGATGATGATAAAATCTGATGACTTCAGAGAAATGTCATTTTTTATTTCTATTATTTTTAAGGAAGAGACGCTTCGTTGGCTCAGCCAAACAGTAAGACTGGGGATTCCCCCCCCCCCCCCCCC